GTTCAATAGTATCTCTATTACCCACTATTTTCCAACAAATTACCAACTTTATTTTTAGTCCCATAATTACCATGTTATTAAATAAATTAGGATATTTCGTAATTATGATACAATTACCATAAAAACTGCTGTTAGTAAAACTACTTTTATTGGGTAACTACAATCAAATTACTATTCAATAGTAACTCAAAACTATATTTATAACCAAAAGAATGCAACTAAATTTTGGGGTTAGTGGTTAAGTGCAATAAAATATAACTTTAAAACGGTCCAAAATTAACTACTACTTATTTAAGTGTTGCATAATGAATTGTAATACATTACCAGTTAAGTGCTACATTACTGCAGACAATTAATTACATAGTAAAATTGTACCCTAATTACAACATATTTACATGGTAATAAGCTAATAATTTCATTTAATTACATTTTTTAATTACCTTGTAATTACATGGTAATAAGGGTACTGTAAAAGAAAGTGTTACCCACAAATTTACCTACTGTTTAAGTTTAGTTTTTGMTACACTTGAAATTCATGACTAAAATGGCGAAATGGTCTTTGTTTAAAAAAAAAAAAGAGAAGAACCCGTCCAGAAGACCTACACAATTTTTTTCTTTTTGATTTTTTTACCTGGATTACTGAGATGCATCCGGACGGTCTTTGTTTACTTTAATAGTTATTATGTAACTTCTAAGCTAATTTAAAAAATATATAGTTTTATTTAGATACATTTGTTTGCTTGAATGAATCTACAAGTCGTTTACTTCAGCTACAGGACCAGTTGTTTTTATGGTAGCGCCCCCATCCGGCCACAACAGGAACTGCTGAGATTTAGACGATATGTCTGTCAGTACAGTGTGAAGATCTGTCTCAGGTTAATTTGTCCRAACCAAGCTGGCTGCTTGTGTTTGGCAGCGTTCTCTGTCTCTGCATCCTGTGAGGTCTTTGTTTCATCACTGTGTCTTAAAATGTGCATTCATTTCCCTTAAAGTCTGAACAGCAGAAAGACGTGTTCTCACCGGCGCTGCTGCTGCTGCTGTAGGCACGTCGGTGTCTTCGCCTTTCGCTTGACCCTTCATGTCTGTCTCTAAATGTCTGTTGCTATGACGATGCTGTCTGGCTGGCGAGATGACAGCGGCACGCAGGCAGCCAGACAGCTGTCCCCGCTGAATCTCCTTAYCGACACCAGGGGAGGCAGAGCGGGGATGACCAAATTAACTGCAGACTCAGACGTTACTTATGAAGTCCTGGAAGAGAAGTGCGAGAGCTCGAGACMGTTTCATGTCGTACAGTTTAGGAAAAGCTAAAACCTTGTCGAATGTTTCTTCTGCAGAGACCTTAAGGCTGGAAACATTCTCCTTGGAGATGATGGTTCAGTGCAGATTGCAGGTATCCAGAAATGTTTTTTTTTTGCTCATGTTTACTGCGCTCTCTTCATTTTCACAGTTTTTACAAATCTGGTATTGACCAACTTCTTTCACTTCGTCTCATTTCTCCTTCCGTCAGACTTTGGCGTCAGCGCCTTTCTAGCCACAGGTGGTGACATGACCCGAAACAAAGTGCGCAAGACGTTTGTGGGGACGCCATGCTGGATGGCCCCAGAGGTCATGGAGCAGGTCAGACCTGGAYAGCGAAAAACTACTTTTTAATATAAAGAAACAACTGAATAGTAACACTGTTGTAGAAATCTGTGCAGCAAATAATATTGCTACCATSAACCCCATCTTAGATKTATAATTTATGTGCATTTTAAWGYGCCTGTGACATGCAAATACTTGAAATACAAAAAGTCAAAGAAAACATCTTTATATTTAAGAAAGTTGGAATAATACACACGATTTTACCCATTTTGACTCATAACTGGCATATTTTCTTTTGAACTTGGCTCAGCCAAAGTGAAACAGGAAGTGGCATCAAAGGGGAACTCTTTAACAAAGAAAACTCTGGTCTTTGTTTATTGAAACAATATTTGAACTCTGACTCTTCTTCATCTCTCTGATAGAAACTCAAAATAATCTAAAACATCAGATTATTCTCTACAGTTTGTGTTATCAGCTGTTGTAGCAACGCTCTGTTCACATGCAGACGTTCCCCTTTGACATCACTTCCTGTTACTTCACAGGCAAATATCTCAACAACTGTTCATCTCAGCAACATGAAATTTCTTTTGCAATATTTTATTAATGTCCTCTTTCTAAAAATGCATTCAACAAAAATTTGACGTCACAGGCACTTTAAAACTCAGTAAATAACTAGAGATTGAAACAGCTGTAACTGTGAGGAAGAAAGGAATTAAATCCAAAAAAGGGAGTTTTAAAGTTGAAAATGGGCTGCAGCTAGGTAGTTTATTTTAGTTGTTTCAAAATAAAAGCATAAACAGTTTGAATGTGTTTGCTTCCTTCTTCAGGTGAGGGGTTACGATTTCAAAGCTGATATTTGGAGTTTTGGAATCACAGCAATTGAGCTCGCCACTGGAGCCGCACCTTATCACAAATACCCACCAATGAAGGTAAGAATTGATCTTATCGTTTTATATTCCATCGTATTATTTCATACATCGCACCGTTTAATGAGGGACTCAAAATATTTCTGTTGTCCTCAGGTCTTGATGCTTACGCTGCAGAATGATCCACCAACCCTTGAGACCGGCATCACAGACAAGGAGATGGTGAAGAAATATGGCAAATCTTTCCGGAAGATGGTCTCTTTGTGTTTACAGAAGGATCCAGAGAAAAGGTACTCCTCACCGAGGATCCAAGATGGCTGACACTTGAACTACTACTGATTTGTGTCACTCTCGCTCTGCKTTTTAGGCCAACCTCGTCAGAGTTGTTGAAGCATAAATTCTTTCAAAAAGCAAAGGTAGGTGCTTGACGACTCCTGGTCTTTACACTGAATCGATAACAGAGTGAGTCAGCATCAAGGCAGAAGATTGCATGCTTTAATCAGAAATAATCTTTATCTGATAATTTGATTAGGCTGCGATCCTCTCAGCTGACTGAAGGGAAGGTCACAGCAGAAACTGAGGCTAATTATAAGGGCCGTCCCTGAGGGGTTTGTGTGATTCAGGGCTTKATCTTCAACCTGTCAGTGTGTCTGACCTGAGCTGAGGTCAGTGCAGCATTCCTCTCATTGATGGCCGTTTCCAACAAACACAGTCGAACACTCTGAACACCCAGTATCATAGCAACGAGAACAACTAGAGCGCAGATTCAGCAGGTCACACATCCTAAACACCCTGGAAGCTTTGGTTGGTGCGACGCTCAACAACTGCAATACTTTGTGTGAGCAGCAGGTGGCAGCATGTCATCATTTTAAAGCAAACGCTGTAAATCTCTGGTTTGTCACCCTGGTTGAAGCAGGGCCAGCCCTAGTCAATGTGGCATCCTGTTTCAGGTGCCGATTATCTAAATATCACAGCCAGTTTACAACATTCACACACCAAATAAATAAATAATTTTGTCTTTTGATTTTATCCTTAGAAACTAGGTTGTCCAATTAAAATAGTTGGAAACAAAATACTTGAAGTCTACCTCGTACCTGCTAACATTTGTTCACGTTAACGAGCAGCTGTGGAGTGAAGCAGTTCTAGGAGGTCCAGGGGTTTACYCCCCCAGAAAATTTGCTAAAGATTCACTGGCTGTGTCTCAGTTAATTAAGATTTTATTCTCAAAATATTATGACTGCATTTTTATACAACTTTAATGTTGTAATATTATGATTGGATTCTTGTAACTTGTAGTTGCATTTTTTTATTTAACATCTTATTGCATCATAAATTTCATCAGCTAAGTTGCTAAACTTACTTGAAAAAAAATTCTTCGATCCGTGGTGAATTTCCAAACTACGCCGACTCATTTAAGAAAATAAAAACACCACCGTCTTCATTTCTCTGTTTATTTTGCTGCCGGCGCATTGAACCCTGGGATATCCTCGGCTGGTGAGGATACATGGATGCATCCTCGGATTTTAAGAGTTTGTCAGCCGCATTCCTCAGCTGCATGACGAGGAGCCTTCGAATTGGGACAGCACTCGGCGTGGGGCAGTGATATATGCGGCTGACAAATGCGCACTCATGAGGACCCAGCTCATGAACACAGCCACTGAAAACTCTGTGGTTTCCATCCAATTGAAGAGCATTTTATTAAGTTTATCCTTTACTGATGCATCTCAGTAAAGAAGAACCCGCCCAGAGCACCTACTTATTTTTTGTGTTTTTGAGMATTTTATTAAGTTCTTGGGATTAAGAAAACAACCTAAAATCAGTATTTTATGAAATTAGAACACTGACAATTACACTACAACCCAAACTTTATTTTAGATCATAACTGAAACTTCTATTATCCTTATTTTGTTTTCATTTTACAAWTTGAGTGCCAGGAGTTAGTCTTAACTTCATCATATGATACTTTTATTATGAAAAAATCCTCTTCACCAAATAACACCTCAAATAACGTTCACAAACTCGAGGAACCATTGAATATTCTACAGACTAAATCAACTACACTTTGATGAAAAGTTATACCTTTTTTTGTCCCCCATTTGTTACGCCCTCTAGATGGGTGGGACCCTTAGCATTTGCCTTTACTGCCTATGCCACCGGCCCGGGGTTAAAGGATTCAAATATTATAAATGTTTAGTTACTGGAAACGATTTTGCTGCAAGAGTAGTTGAACAATAATATTTAAGATATAAAAACAAAGTGACTTTTTGATGACATTTGGGGTCAAACACTCAATACGAAGTGCTGTTAAGCTATTCAAACTTTAACATTGATCTGAAAGATTGAGAGTTCAGCTCTAAATTTGCAAGAATTGAACACCGTAAAGCTTCATGGAGTAATTTTTAGGTTTGTTTATTTTTTCCCCTCACTGACAGACTCACGAGTACTTACTGGAGAAGTTAATACACAAGACGCCCACAATAACAGAGAGATCGAAAAAGGTAAAAGACAAAGGAAATATCTGATTAAAACCATGTTTTCTGTTTAAAGCATTAACCGATGTRCTCATTCTTGTGGACCTGTTTTGATGTCAGGTACGTCGGGTGCCAGGCTCCAGCGGGCGTTTGCATAAAACAGAGGACGGTGAATGGGAGTGGAGCGATGATGAACTTGATGAAGAAAGTGAAGAAGGCAAAGCAGCCGTCGCAGGTTTAAGAGTGAGAAACTTAGCTGTTTGTCTGCACACACTCAGGATTTATAATGCTCCACATGTCTTTTAATCACTGTGCTCTGTTTGAACTGTCATCCTCATGTCTGTGCAGTAGCATGTTTGTCTCTCCATTAAGTCTTCCCTCTGTGTGTGTGTGTGTGTGTGTTTCTGTTTTGTGTGATGTCAAAAGGAGCAGCAGGTGAAGCCAGTTAGTGCCCCCAGGCGACAAGTGCGCTTCTCCTACCCACTCGAGCTGCCTGCATCCAGGGTTGTTTACTTGTCACCTTAATACAGATGGCATTCCCTTAACAAGGAAGGACTCTCAGCTGTTAGTGGAGAGCGTGTGACAGCCGGGCAGTGCAGTCAGTTGATGAGTCGTTCGTGTGAGGGCTGTGCACACGTGGATTAGGAACAGCATGWAGCAAATTACCGTATTTATTCAAGTATAATACATAAAATTAAATCCATAAAATCATCCATAAAGTTGGGGGGG